GAGAGAGAGAGAGAGAGAGAGAGAGAGAGAGAGAGACACCCCCTGCAAAATACTTTCTAACTCCTTAAAAATCAACTTGATATATGTATTGGGATTCTGTAAAACATGTAGATTACTTTGATAGAATTGTCTTTTTTCACAATATTGTTTTCCTCTATCCATGAACAAGCAATCTTTTCTATTTAGTTAAGGGGGTTTTTTATAGTTTCTTGTAGTAGTGTTTTGTAGTTTTCCTTATAAAAGTCTTTTATGTCTCTAGTTTAACATACTCCCAAACATTCCATCTTGTGGTTGGCTGTTGTGGATGGTATTGCTTTTTTAGTTTCATTTTCTGTGTTTTCTTTGTTGCTGTAGAGAAATCTCACTGAATTTTTTAAATATTTATCTTATATCATGCCACTCAACTAAACTGGTCTATTAGGTCTAACAGATTTTTTGTTGCGTCTTTGGGGTTTTCTGTGTACACTGTCATATTGCCAAGGTAGATGTTTCTTACTTCCCCCTATTGTCTCATTGCCCTAGCAAGTACTTTCAATACAATATTAAATAGGAGTGGTTATAGTGGGCACTTTTTTCTGGTCCCTTTTCACACTAGGAATGCCTTTAGTCTCTCTCCATTGAGAATGTGTTAGCTTTTGGTATGCATATATACTTTCACCTCTACTCCAATTTATTGAATGTTTTAATCAGCAAGGGTGCTGGATTTTGTCAATGACATTGTCTCCATCAGTTGATAGGATCATGTGGTTCTTGTTCTTTCTTCAATTAAATTACATTAAAGGTTTTTCTTTATTTTCTTTCTCTCTCTCTCTCTCTCTTTTATTTATATGTTAAACTCTACTTGGATATGTCTTACAAATTCCAATTGGTGATGATGAATTTCTCTTTTATATACTGTTGGAGTCTATTAATAGGCTAAGATTCCATTATGGACTTTTGTGAGAATGTTCACGAGGGATATTGGTCTATTGTTTTCTTTTTGCTGATGTTTTTGCTTGGTTTGATATGAGTGCTATGTTCACTTCATATGATGACTCTGTCAGTCTTCTTTCAATTTTTTTTTAAAGTTTAAATAAAATTGGTGATAGTTCATCTTTGGATGTTTGGTAGAAATCACTTATAAAGCTGTTTGTGCCAGGGCCTTTTTGGGGGAAGTGTTTCAATGATCTGTCCAAAATATCTTCTTCTGTGATGAATTTTTTTATCTTATTAGTTCTCAGTTCTACCTCTTCAATACGGCTTTTTAAACTTACTAGTCTTGAACATTTCTGTAACATTGGTCTTTATATTATGAATTATATTTTCATGCTTTTCTGTTGTTTCTTGTATTGTCTTGATTGTGTTCTGTCTTGTAAATTTTTTAAAGAATTTTTTGGTGCTTTTTACTTATGGTGTTAACTCTTCTATCATTTTGAACTTTCTGAGTGTCATTTCTAGTATCACCATGGTGGTATATTTCTTTTGTCTTTATGGTTTTGTGGTATTCCATCAGTCAGTGATCTGGTCTGCTTTATAAGGAGAAAGCTTGTTTTAGGTTTTCCATAATTTTTTAATCTGATGTCTTCTTTTTTGACATTATGTGGAGCTCTTCTTGGTATGTGTGAGTCCAGTTCCGTTCTATCTGTGTAAGAAGATGCCTGTTATGATGCAGTCAGAACCCAGAGGAACCAGAAGAGAGGCCTGAGGGCTTGAATTTGAGTAAGATCCCTGCAGATGCTCAATCTGTGAGAGACTGTGTGTGCCCCGCCCAGCCCAAGCACCTGCCTCTAGATGTCATACCTGCCGCCTTCCTCTACACAACTTGCCCAGCACCCACCTCTGTGCTCCACTGACCTCTCCACTCTGCCAGCCTCTATACTCTGCTGACCTCTCCACTCCACCCACCTATACTCAGTGACTTCATATAAAAAAACCTATCATTACCTCAGGCATGAAAACCTCTACCACAAAAACATCATGAAAGAAACAGTCCACCTCAAAAAATAATACACAAGCGCAATGCATTATGTCACCCCAAAAAGTGACACAGTGCCAATGGATTTCCTAACGCCCAAAAGTCTGATAGAACTATCCAATACAGAATATAAAAGAACAATAATTGAATATTTTCAAAGGGTGAAAGAGAAAATAAGAATTACAGGACACTGCAAGCAAAAATGAGGAGGAGCTTAAAAAAATAAAAAATGTAGATAAAACAAACGAGACAATAGAGGCTCAGGAAAAACAAGAAATCGCAATCCAAAACATGAAGTCCAATGCTTCAAATGCTGTCAACATGATGGAGGGACACATGTTGAAGAGATGGAACACAAAATCAGTGAAACAGAAGATAGAATTCTTGCCACTGATGTGCTACAGCAAAAGGCAGAATCAAAAAGGAAGGAAAAAGGAAGACAAGCTAAGAATAATGTGGGACACCAACAAGAGAAATAACATGCGCATTGTCGGAATCCCAGAATAGGAAGAAGCAAGTAAAGGCACCGAAAAAGTTGTGGAAGAATTACTAGAGGAAAACTTCCCAGGCATAATGAAGAATGAGAGAATATATATTAAAGAGGCTAAGTGAACATGCCACAATTCTCCTCATAGAGCCCAGCCTCTCGGATAATCTGCTCTGCATACATGTTGAAAAGGGGTGCTGGAGAAGGGTACTGAATGCACCATGGACTTCCAGGAAAACAAACAGATTCACCTTGGAGAGGATTAAACCAAGCTACTCTTTGGAGGCAAGGATTCTGGGACTTCGTCTGACATACTTTGGACATGTTGCCAGGAGGGACGGGTCCTTGGAGAGGGACATCATGCTTGGCAGGGTGGAGGGACAGCGCAGGAGGGGAAGACCCTCTATGAGATGGATTGATTCGGTGACTGGGGTGATCGGGATGGGTGTGTCAGAGGCGGTGCGGTTGGCGCAGGATAGAGCAGGGTTTAGGGCTGTTGTGCATAGGGTCACTATGAGTCGCAAACGACTCGATGGCACATAACAACAACAACAAATGAACATGGTGTTCACTATAGAATAGACTCCAAAAGAAAAACATCAAGACATATCATAGTCAAATTTGCTAAAACCAAAAATAAGGAGAGAACTCTAAAAGTAGTGGGAGTAACCTAGAGTAACAAAGAGTAATCTATAAGGGAGAGCAGATAAGATTAAATGCCAATTTCTAACAGAAATAATGAGAGCAAAAAGACAGTGGAATGACATATATTGAACACTCAACACTACCAAGGATACTGTACCCAGCAAAACTGTCCATCAAATATGAAGGAGAGATCAAGACTTTCCCATAAAAACAGAACCTAAAGGAATTTTTAAAAACAAGACCAGCAATACAGGAAACACTGAAAGACATCCTTCTTACAGAGGTGCCACTGAAAGCAGGACACACCAAAGTAAGTAGCAACAGCACCAGAAAGAACTCAACACAATGATAGCAATAAAACCATGCCTCTTAATAATCACACTGAATTTGAATGGTTTAAATGCACCACTGAAGAGGAAAAGGGTAGCAGATTGGATAAAGGCCCCAAATCCATCAATATACTGTCTACAAGAGAGACACCTGAAAAGTGAAGATAATGAAAGACTAAAAAGAAAAGGGGGATGGGGATGGAATATAACAAGCAAATGGCAACCAGAAAAAAGCAGGAGTAGTGATATTAACCTCTAATAAAATATATTTCTATGCAAAAACCATCACAAAGAACAAGGAAAGTCACTACATAATGCTTAAAGCATCAATAGAACATGAGGACATAACAATAAGAAATATTTATGCACCAAATTATAAACCTGCAAAGTATATAAAACAAACAGTAACAAAACTGAAAAAGGAAATAGACAACTCTACTTCAGTACTTGGAGACTTCAATAGACCACTCTCAACAAAAGATAGAA